GAAGAGATTAAGAAGAGGTGGCACGAATACACAGGGGAATTATACAGAAAAGGTCATAATGACCCAGATAACCACGATGGTGTGGTCACTCACCTAGAACCAGACATCCTGGAGTATGAAGTCAAGTGGGCCTTAGGAAGCATCACTACAAACAAAGCTAGTGGAGGTGATAGAATTCCAGCTGAGCTATTTAAAATCCTAAAACATGATACTGTTTAAGTGCCAGCAAATCTGGAAAACTCAGCAGTGGCCACAGGACTGGAAAAGGTCAGTTTTTATTCCAATTCCAAAGAAAGGCAATGCCAAAGGATGTTTAAACTATCATATAATTGTGTAAGATAATCCTAGCCAGGTAATGCTTAAAATCCTTAAAGTTGGGCTTCAATAGTACATGAACTGAGAACTTTCAGATGTATAAGCTGGATTTAGAAGAGGCAGAGGAACCAGAGATCAAATTGCCAACATCTGTTGGATCATCAAAAAAGCAAGAGAGTTCCAAAAAACATCTACTTCTGCTTCATTGACTATGCTAAAGCCTTTGACTATATGGATCACAGTGGTGGAAAATTCTTTTCCATCACTGTGTGGAAAATTCTTAAAGAGATGGGAATACCAGGCCACCTTACCTGCCTCCTGAGAAACCTGTATGCAGGTCAAGAAGTAACAGTTAGAACTGGACATGGAACAATGGCTTCATTCCAAATTGGGAAAAGAGTATGTCAAGGCTGTATATTGTCACCCTGCTTATTTAACTTATATGCAGAGTACATTATGAGAAACTGGACTGTTTGAAGCACTAGCTGGAATCAAGATTGCCAAGAGAAATATCAATAACCTCAGATATGCAGATGACACCACCCTTATGGCAGAAAGTGAAAAAGAACTAAAGAGCCTCTTGATGAAAGTGAAAGAGGAGAGTGAAAAAATTGACTTAAAGCTCAACATTCAGAAAACTAAGATCATGGCATCCGGTCCCATCACTTCATGGCAAATAGATGGGGAAACAGTGGAAACAGTGGCTGACTTTATTTTTTGGGACTCCAAAATCACTGCAGATGGTACCTGCAGCCATGAAATTAAAAGACACTTATTCCTTGGAAGGAAAGTTATGACCAACCTAGATAGCATATTAAAAAGAAGAGACATTACTTTGCCAACAAAGGTCCATCTAGTCAAAGCTATAGTTTTTCCAGTGGTCATGTATGGATGTGAGAGTTGGACTATAAAGAAAGCTGAGCACTGAAGAATTGATGCTTTTGAACTGTGGTGTTGGAGAAGACTCTTGAGAGTCCCTTGGCCTGCAAGGAGATCCAACTAGTCCATCCTAAAGGAGATCATTCCTGGGTGTTCATTGGGAAGACTGATGTTGAAGCTGAAACTCCAATACTTTGGCCACCTGATGTGAAGAGCTGACTCATTTGAAAAGACCCTGATGCTGGGAAAGGTTGAAGGCGGGAGGAGAAGGGGATGACAGAGGATGAGATGGCTGGATGGCATCACTGACTCAATGGACATGGGTTTGGGTAAACTCCAGGAGTTGATGATGGACAGGGAGGCCTGGCATGCTGCAATCATGGGGTCGCAAAGAGTCGGACATGGCTGAGCGACTGAACTGAACTGCAATGAACTGAGGATATATCATGTGAAATGTTGGGCTGGTTGAATCACAAGCTGGAATCAAGTTTGCCAGGAGAAATATCAATAACCTCAGGTATGCAGATGATACCACTCTAATGGCAGAAAGGGAACAGGAATTAAATAGCTTCTTGATGAAGGTGAAAGAAGAGAGTGAAAAAACTGGCTTAGACTCAACACTCAAAAAACTAAGATCATGGTATCTGGTCTGATCACTTCATGGCAAATAGATGGGATAAAAGTGGAAACAGTGGCAGATTTTATTTTCTTGGGCTCCAAAGATTGTGGATAGTGACTGCAGCCTTGAAATTAAAAGATGCTTACTCCTTGGAAGAAAAGCTATGACAAACCTAAACAGCATATTACATAGCAGAGACATTACTTTGCTGACAAAGATCGGTATAGTCAAAGCTATGGTTTTTCCAGTGGTCATGTACAGATGTGAGAACATGTGAGAGATATGCTGAGCACAAAAGGATTGATGCTTTTCAACTGTGGTGCTGGAAAAGATTCTTGAGAGTCCCTTGGACAGCAAGGAAATCAAACCAGTCAATTCTAAAGGAAATCAACCCTGAATATTCATTGGAAAGACTAATGCTGAAGTTGAAGCTCCAATAATTTGACCACCTGATGGAAAGAGCTGCCTCATTAGAAAAGACCCGGATGCTAGAAAATATTGAGGGCAGGAGAAGAGGGCGACAGAGGGCAAGATGGTTGGATGGCATCACTGACTTGGACATGAGTCTGAGCAAACTCCAAGAGATAGTGAAGGAGAGGGAAGCCTGGCAGGCTGCAGTCCATGGGGTCGCAAAGAGTCAGAAATGAAATAGTGACTGAATAACAATGAGAAGCAATGAGGACCACTTTGGCTTTTCTGAAGGGTAATTACAAACGATCTAACTGGGTGGAGGGCCTAAGGGGGCCTGAGGACACAGAGCAACAGAGATCTGCTGGGAACAGGAGGGAGGAACTGAGTGTTGATAGAGTAGTGGCTCAGAGATGAGGATACAAGGTCCAGCCCTGTGGGGCTGTTGAGGCCTGAGTCCAGATCTTGGACCCAAGCCAGACCAGCAGGGGATCCAACTTGTTACCATGGGGACCCAGGGCTGTGTCCGTACAGCTGGAGAGATGACCCCCTCTCAGTTGGATGAGGACACCTACATAGCAGTGACCAGCCTCAAAGCCAAGTGTCCACCCACACCCTGCACCCCCCCTCCCCTTTTCCGGAACAACTTGTTTTGCTCTAAAGCTTGGGACTTTGACCTGGGAGGTGTGTTTTCCTCCTATTGGTCACCTGCTGTCCTTCCTGCTCACCCCCCTCCCCCAAGGTCCCCAAAGCATGGCCCAGGGAGTCCTTGTCCTTCCCCGGACTCTGTAGGGAAGGGGGGATGCTTGGATGTGAGAGGTGGGACCTGAGGCTTGGGGATGATGGAAGAGGTGGAGCTGCCCCTGGGGCGCACTGGCTGGAGAGGGGGTCCCAGCAGTGCCTTCCCTGTTTCTTCTTGGATCTTGCCTTCCTTGGTTTCTGGGACACCCCATTCTCCTGGAGTTCCTCCTCCTGCTCCACCCTGGCTCTCTGCTTTTGAAAGAGCCTTTGTGTTTGGCCGTGTCTTGGTCTCTCACTGTCTGCCCCACTCCTTTGCCCTGGCTCTCTCCTTCACACTCACGCATGCACCCACACACATCCTGGGGCGACCATGCACTCCAGTGCCTCCACTACCAATGCTGTGCCACAGGCGGCTCCCAGATTGTGCTTCTCGACCTTAGACCTGGGGATCCCCTTGCCTTCTGCCTTCCCTAAGGAGCGTCCACAAGGACAATACATCTAAACCTGTAGCTCGTCACCCCTCCCCACCCCCTGGAACTTGCCCCGGCCCCTTGTGAGGGGCCACCAAGCCACAAATGGAAGTGACCCTCGGGTCCTCACTGCCCACTCCCCACTCCCAGCTAGTCAGTGTTCTGGCACCGTGTCCTGTCCATTCAGCTCTCCTAAATAGGGCTCCATCCCATTCCCTCTGCCTCACCCTGCAGCCCTGTGTGGCTATTGTAAGTTTCCCCATGACTTTCCTTTCTCCTGTCTGTGGGCGCCCCTTTCATTCTCCACTCTGTGTCCAGAGGTATTTTCTCGAATGCAAATCTGATCCTGTAACTCCCCTGCTTAGAAGAAGGTTATCAGTGTTTGTTTGTTAAATTCAACTCCATTCCTTGCGTTCCAAGCAGTGATGCCCTGGGTGTTCATTAACACACCAGGTGCCTACTAGCCACACATGGTGCCAGAACATGCTGAAGACCCAAGTTGGAGTAGGACAGACACCTATAGATGGCATCACTCACCTCCAAGCCAAGTTCCCTGAGTTCACCTTGAGACCCCATGTTTGCATGAATGTGTGTATCCCCATAGCAGTGGGCACACACAACCACACACACACATACATACAGGAAGCAGGGATGAGGTGAGATGTCTGGGTGTGCCACTGGCAATAGCAAAGGCTGACCAAGAGGTCCTGTGAGCACCAGTCTGGTGGTATCTGGGCAGAGAGGCTGTGCAGGGGCTTCCAATTCACACCCTAGTTTCTGGGGACCCTCCATCTCAGAGACTTTGCCCCAGTCTACTGGTTCCTTCTTTCTTGGCCTCTGTGGAGCCAGACTCCAGCATCCGTGGCTTCCTGTACTCCTGGAGGAAGTAGGGGGGCATGGAGGAAGGAGACCCAGTAAGACCCTTGGCTCCCAGGCCTCAACAGAAACTTGGGTCATTCTCAGATCCTGAGCTGGAGGGCCTGATGCCTCCATGGGATCTTGAGATTTAAGAACCCAGGGGTTCAGGGCCCCAGACTAGACCTTCCAACCTGTGAATGTCCTTCATTTGTCCTCCAGAGCAGGACACCTACTTCTCTCATTGGGATGGATGGAGAGGGATCAGAAGGTGTGTGCAGAGGCCTCTGACCAAGCTCAGATCCTGTCCCAGTTTCCAAAGATCAACTCTGAGGCAAAGAGGTGGAGCTGAACTGAGTCAGGTCAGCTTGGTTGGGTGGGGACAGCTGGCGACTAAGGCCTCAGGCTCTCTGTCGTGATTCCCAAGGGAAAGGGCGGATTTAGAAAGCTAGTGAACCGGGCAGGGAGTGCAGGGACAGAAGCCAGGGCTGTGTGCGGGAGTGGGACCCTGGGGTCTGGCTTGGCTGAGTGGGGACAGGTGAGGATAAGGAAAGAAAAAAGGCCAGGCTCTCAGGGAGAAGGCAGCTTTGACCTTTCCTAGCCTCTGTGGTTTTCCCCTAGTCCGGAACCAACCAGCAAATTTCTTAATCCCACTGTCAGCCCTGCCCAGAAGCCCCGCCCACTGGGCTCATTCAAAGGCAGGAGCCAGAATGTGTCACACCTTTCCCCAGAACCCAGCCCCACTGCCAGGAATGGGGAGCTGACACAAGATTTCAGGGGCCTAGGGCTTGGAGGTGAGGCCCGATTCCCTTCACCTCCCAGGGCTCAGCCCCACGGTCCCTGGAAGATGACCTCAAATGCCAGCCTGAGTGGGCTGGGCTCTGGCCAGGGAAGGCCAGGCCTGGCAGCTCATTACTGTGGGAGGGAGGGCAGGTTCCCTCCACCTTCCCTCCTCCTTCCTCCCTCGTCTCCTTCCTCACTAGCTTCTCTCCTCCAGGGTCAAACCAGGCCAAGCTGATCTCAGCGGACACGCACAGGACCCACAGCAGCTCCAGGGGCCCGGGTTCCAGCCGCCCGAGCAGGTGCCTGCAGCCATGTCAGCCCTCAGCCTGGTCGTCCTGAGCCTGCTGACGGCAGTCCCCCCCGCCAGCTGTCAAGGTAGCAGGGCCTGGGCCAGCCCAGGGGCTGCGGGGAGGAGAGGGCCGGGCTGGGTGCTGGGAGCCCAGGGGTGGAAGGGGTGGTCTTCTGGTCCTTCTCATCACCCTTGGCATCTGCAGGTTGGAGGGGGAAAAGGCACTGGGCTAGCCCGGGGAACCTCCAGAGGCAGACACAGGCTTCTGGCTGGGACATGATTCCCACAAGTGAGACATGAGGGCAGCAGGGAAACGCTGGATCTAGGGTTGGGGAGGGGAGTTGAGATCCACGCTCCAGGAGCAGGAATTGCCCTAGAGATGGCTGGGTTCTGAGAGCTGGGGGCTTCAAGGAGGGTGGGGTTGGGGGCTGAGCCACCCCTCAATGGCAGGCTTGTTTCTGGGGCGGTGCTGTCATGGTTTTGGCCTAAACCCCCATTATTTCCTACCCAAAGTCCCAGTGGGGCTCCCACCATGTTCCTGGGCTCTCTGTCCAGCTTTGCCTCTGTGTTGCTGTGTGCTGTGTATCTTCCGCCACCCAAGGAGATGAGCAAATCACTGCCCTTCTCTGAGACTCAGTTTTCTCATCCATAAAATGAAGACAATACACCTGGCCGCCCACCTCCCAGGGCACCTGCCCTGCAGGGGTGGGGTAGGGCTTTGTATGGGTAAAGCTCCACACCCACCACCTGGTGTCTGCCCTGTGCTGTGAAGCTGTGTTTGCAGCCAGAGCCTGGGGACTCTGCAGGTGGGCTTTGGGCCCAGAGGGGTTGGCTTCCAGAGCACCCCTCCTTTGCAGACGCCCTGAGCTCTCATGCATGACTGCTTCAACTCTGTCTCTCAGGCCTTGGAAGCCCTCTTTGGGAACTGAAGATCAGAGAGGCTGAGTAACTTGTGTCGGTCACACAGCAGAGCAAGAAGGGACAGGGCTAGATCTCCTCTCTCCTGCCGCAGGCCCTGCCCCTTATGCTGTGTGTCCACCCCAGAGCCACCTGGAAGGAGGAGCAGTGTCCCTGGTGTGTTTGGAAGGAATCGGCTGCAGAGACAGGCCTCCCCTCCCCAGGGCTTGAGCCCTGACCCCCAATCCTTGAGTAGCCACTGAGGAAACAAAGGGCCTGAACCATTGTTTTTTGGGGAAACAAGGAGTCCAAAACACAGCGTTTTGGCAAGTATGGAACATAGAGTGACCACACTGTGTATCTCCCGTCACCCAAGGAGATGAGCAAGGTCTGACCACAGGACAGAGTTCCCAGGGCCCTCCCTCCTTCCCAACACCTGCCAGGATCAGGGACTGCTCGGAGAAGGCAGCGCCTCCTGCAGCAGGAGCACTTTTGGGTAGACTCAGGGAAGCACCTTTGAGAGGGAATGAGGCAGAATGAAGTTTCTGATGCTCAGCCTGGGTCCTTTAGGTACAGGACGGCACTAGGAATGCAGGTATTCTTGCCTGGAAGCAGGACCTTTCAAAAGTCTCCTGTTGGCCTCTGTCCCTTCCTGAGACATCTAACTGCTACTGCGTGTCTGTCCGTGGTGTGGCCAGGCTCTCTCGGGCTCACAGAGCACGGTGATGTCCGGGGAGAGGAGAGCCCCCTGGGGCTGCCAGTGGCTGAGAGCAGAGACTTCTGGGAAATCTTGAGGGTTAGAGGTGGTGTCAAGGGTCAAGGGTCAAGACGCAAAGAAGGTGCCTGGATGGGGCCTCAGACTGCTGTCTGGCCTAGTCCCTTGGGCATCCAGCCAGAGGAGCTGAAAAGGGCTCAGATTGGAAGCTCCCCTTCTGCCAAGACCCAGAGAGAGCTCGGCCCTCTGTCCTGCCTTTCCAAAGGTGTTCCGTCCTACCCTTCCTCTGGGCACCCCTGGCACCCCCAGCTGCGCGGCCCTGCCTGTCGGTGCTCCCACGCCTACCCAACCCCAGAGAACCTCTGCTACAAAACAGGATCTTCCAGATGCCAGCCCAGTCCTATTAGCTCTGGGCCGCTCCAGCCTGGGGGCAGGGGAGGAGGGGAGCCACCCTCCCTGGCAGGGCCAGGCTGGCTATTCAGGGGGCTGCCCTTTGGTCCCTGGGCCGAGACTTTCCCTGGGGGCCCTAACTTGTGACCCACTGCCGCGGGAGAGGGCTGGGGGAGGGGACACTCTGGGCTGCCTGGACCTCAGACACTGCTCTCTGAGGCTTCCTCCCTCCTTGGCTCCTTTCTTTCTTCCAAGTCCTGTCTTCCTTCAAACCACCGTCCCCTTTATAAGGCCAGTGGTCAGATGGGGTCCTTGTTCCCCAGACAGGCTCCTCTGGTCCAGGCAGTGGGCTGGGAGCCTCCAGCACAGGCCCCAGCCCAGAGGCAGGAGGGACCCCTGCACTGGCTGTGCCCAGCTTGCTGCAGGACAACCCCCCCGCCAAAACACAGCACACTCCTCGCTTTCCAGGCCGGGGGAACCTGCAGCCCTGGATGCAAGGCCTTATCGCCGTGGCTGTGTTCCTGGTCCTCGTCGCAATCGCCTTTGCTGTCAACCACTTCTGGTGCCAGGAAGAGCCGTGAGTGCTGCCTGGGCAGCCCTGGAGCTGGGCCGGCGCAGGCAGGGTGGGACCAGGACCCCGGCCACCGCTCTCGTAGCAGGGAAAAGGGTTGATGAAATCCTCTCACTGTGTGGAAGGGACACGGAGGCCTGAGGTCTCGGAGGGCAGAGCGGAAGTTTGCTAGCATCTACAGCTGAGTGTGCTCACTGGGGGCAGGTCGTCTCTTCTCGGATTCTCAGTGTTTCTATCTGTATAGTTGGGACAGCGGCCCATCTGTGATGGGGGCTGTGAAAACCCCTGGACAGGAATGTTCTGCCCTTCTCCAGGGTCTGCTGGCATGTCACATTCGGGAGGTACAAAGGGGCAATGGGACAGACACTGCTCTTGTGCTCACAGACTCCCAGGTGGGAAGGGAAGGCAAACCTGGTGGGAGCCATCGCAGCTTGAGGCTGATGCTAAAGGAGCCTGCAGAGTGCCATGTGGGCCTGACCTGGGGGGGAAAGGAGGGCGACCAGAGAAGGTTTCCTACTGTATGTTTATCCTGAAGCCCAGGCAGGAGCCAGTCCCAGCACAGTGTAGGGTGGGAGAGCACTGCAGTTGAGGGGTCCTAAGTTCGGGGCAGAGCACAAAGGCAGAGTGGGCTGGGCTGAAATCTAGTTCATTCTGCACCTGTCAACTCTGGGGCAAGTCTGCGTCTACCCCTGGTTCTCATACTGGTGGCCCGGTCCTGGGTGCCAGCAGCAGCCCTGCAGGAGACACTGAATGAACATGAGCAGCTCCCAGATGGAGAGAGGGATGGAGGGGCCTGAGACAGGCTGGCAAGGTTGGCAGAGTCCAGGCCAGGCAGATGCTTGTGCACTAAGGCCCCCGACTTCGGGCTTTGTCCTTAATGCAGTAGGGATCCAGTGCAAGTGTGTAAGCCAGTCTCGGGATGAGATGTCTGCAGATGAAAAAAAGGGTTGAGGATGAGGTCAGGAGAGAGTCTGGACTGTGGAGGCGGCAGAGGGGATGGAGAGAAGGGACAGATCTAAGAGCTGTCAAGGAAGGAAGGGGTCAGCACACAGAGACAGGAGGGAGGAAGGACAGGGAAAACATCCAGGCTTCTGATGGGGCCGCCCACTGATACATAGACCATGAGAGAAGAGGTAGGTCTGGGGCAACTTGGATATATTATGTCTGAGGTGCCTGTGGGATGTCCAAGGAAAGATAAGCAGTGGTTAGGATCCTGGTGACCCTCATGAGAGTGGTATCCGGGGATGTTGGGGCAAAGGCCACCCTTGAGTAAGAGGCAAGGAGATTGTTGTTGGAAATGACTCTTTTCTCCACTGGCCCCAGCTCTGCCTTCAGCGGCCATTCCTACTGTTTAGGAAAACCTTGTGGGAAAACTGAGGCAGACACTGAGGGCTGCCGGGTCTGCTCTGGAGCTGAGCTGAGGCCAGAGGAAAACAGCAGAGGGAGACTGGGAGGTGGCTGGTACAAGGATGTCTGGTACGTCTTTAGTAGACCTCAGGCTGGAACCTGAGGGCCCCACTGTGGATCAGGGAGAAGGGTGTGAGGCTCCTTAGAGTGTGGCCAGAACCAGGCTGCTGGGCCCTGCTGGAGGGTGGGGCTTCCCCTAGAGCCTATAAAACTGGGCCTGACTGGACTAGAAGGAGGAGGGGTAACAGAGGGAGAGGGAACCCAGGGAGCCCTATTGATGAGCTCTGTCCCTAGGGAGCCTATAAACATGGTCATGACCATTGGAAACAAAGCAGATGGGATCCTGGTGGGAACAGATGGCAAGTACTCCTCAAAGGCAGCAAGTTTCAGGTGAGGCACTGGCATAGGGCAGATCACCCTGTGCTCCAGGGGCTCCCGGGGACCTCAGGACCAGGAGCTTTTGATGAGAGCGTGGGGAGGATGGTGGCTCATGTGGGGAAGGGCTCAATGAAGAGAAAGGGTTCGTGTGGGAGGATGGTGAGCGAAGGGGCCTTTGGGAGGACTGCAAGGCTCCATGCAGCCTCAGTTTGGAGAGAGGGCTCAGTAAGGGGATAGGGACTCGGTGCGGGGAGGGGCTCAGGGGGTAGATTAGATTCATAGGGAGGGATGTAATGGGGAAAAGAGGCTCAGTGGAAGAAAGGGACTCTGAAGGGATGAGTAGAAGGACTGTGGGGAGGAGAATCTGTAGGGGAGGAAGCTCAGTGAGGAAGTGGGCTCAACAGGGGGTTTCTTAGTGGGGTTCCCCGGGGAAGAAGCTAGATGGCAGAGAGAGATGGGATTCAGGGTGGTGGTGGTGAGAGGCCTCCAGTCTCAGGTGTAGGAGACCAGATATGGTCAAGGGAACCCCCTCTGGGACTCAAACATTTATTCTGGAAGACACAGCTCTCACAAGTGCGGGATGGGGCAGGGAGAAGGGGATGGGATAGAAGGAGCAATGACCCCTATCATCCTCTTTCAGGTCCAGTGAGCACGAGAATGCCTATGAGAACATCCCAGAGGAGGAGGGCAAGGTCCGCAGCACCCCGATGTGACCCCTGCTTGCCTGTCCATGCCAGCCCCCTCCCTCTCTCTACAGGGATCAGCAGGAAGGGGCCTGCCTTCTCCACCCCCACGTCTGTCCCACCCTCCTGCCAAGGTCCATGCTCAGACTGTGTCCAGGTTGGGGCTCAGCTGTGGCCTTGAGGTTCTAGGGGGTCTCCTGCCCAATTCATTTCAGAAGACTCTTCTGAAAAAGACAATCAGCTCAGCACCTCCCATCCTGCCTCACATCTCCCTCCCCCGACCGTGGCAATGGCCCTTATTTCTGTGAAATAAAGACATTTTATACTTCTGGATCTGAGGCCCTAAGTAGCTCAGAAATAGCTCCTTAGGCTTCCAGAGAGGCCCAATCTTGCTTTCTGACTCATCTTCCAAAGCCACTGTCATGGTGATTCTGGAGAATTTCCAGGAAGTCCTCTCTGGGAGAACCCCCGAGGCCAAGGAGCACACTTCTTGCTCCAGGCAGAGACCCTCTTAAAAAGCACCTCTCCCCTTTTAAAGAAAACATGTATTTATTTGACTGCATTGAGTTGCAGCATGCGGATCTTTGTTGCGTCAAGTAGGATCTTTCCTTGCGGTGCACAGACTCTCTAGTTGTGGTGCACAGGCTTAGCTGCTCCGCGGTGTGTGGGATCTTAGTTCCCTGACCAGGCATTGAACCTGGGTCCCCTGTACTGCAAGGAGGATTCTTCATTGCACCTCCAAGGAAGTCCCGAGTCTTCCTCTCTTGACCTGCCCTTCACAACTGCAGATCTGGGTGATTCTGGGCTCTTCATGTAGCACCAACCCTGACCCCTCCACCCTGCCTCCATGGTGCCAGACATTGTAGCGGGTTCACTCGCTGCTCATTCATCCAGCTCTGTCCTCATCCCCATGGCCCCTCTGGGCTGGGCTTGGGGCATTGGAAGCACTAGGGAAAGTCTAGGGCTAGGACTGGAGTCTGAGCAAGTCCCCTCCTGACTTGCCATGTGACTTTGGAGAGTCAATGTCCTCTCTGAGCTCTGCTGACCCTCTGAGGATTTAGCCAGGCTCACCACAAAGCTTGAGTGGGAGTTATCCTTCCTAAGCCACTGGCTCCCAGACCCAGGTGGGGGTGGGGCAAAGGAACTGGGCCCCCTGTGAGAATGAAGCAGGAGGGAGGGGACACGACCCTACCGGGCTGGCTGACCCTGGAGACCCCTCACTTCTAGAACTGTCATTCTCATGAGAACAGCCTCTGTGTCTGTCTGGGGTGGCAACTGGAGGCGGGCTCTCCCGGGAGCACTCCAAGTTCCAGAGGAGAGGGGCTGGAGGGCAGGAAGCAGCCCACCTTGTCCCTCAGATCTCCTGCCACCTGTCTCAATCTGTCACGGCCTCTCGTTCCTCCATTACAGCTGCTCCTGTGCTGCTCCAGGGCTTCACCCAAATACCCCTGGGGAGTTCCACCCGAAATCCAGACCATCCCTCCCACCTCACTGGGGGCTAGTCTGCAGCCTGCAGCAGAAGGAAGATCCCACAGCTGAGGGCTGGCTGGGTCTCTGCCCTGCTGTGTGACTCGCCTCTCCTCTCTGGGCTTCAGCTCAGTGACTTGTGGCTAGAGCTTCCGTGATTCCCACTCTCGGCTTTTGCACACGTGGAAGGATGCCTTTTCACCCCCCTCTGCCCATGTAAACTCTGCACATTCCTTCTCCTTGGCCTTGCCTAGGTACTTCTTCTTCTAGGAAGTCTTCTTGACTAGACCAGAGGACAGAGTCAAGGGACCAGCCAGCCCAGCCTTTGGCTGCCTGGGTCTGATCCTTCTTGTATGAAGCTACGTTCCTCCCACCTCAGCCCCCTGTTGTCTCACCTCAGCAACCCCCCCCCCCCCACATTGTCTAGGGGTGTCGGGGGTAGGGGGAAGGGGTTCCCAGTCTGACTCCTCATTGGCCTGCCAGGTCTGTTTCCCCTCTAGCCCCTCACACTTTACCAGCAGGGGCTGTGGCAGCTTCTGTCCTGTCCTGGTGCTGAAGGTGGGGGGGCGTGGTGGGCTGGGCTGGGGTGGCCCGGTGGGTGAGTAGAGGGGTCAGATTCCCCCCCACCCCAAAACCCCCGGGCCTTTCCAGGAGCCTCCTTAGCCCCTTCCCCACCAGCTGGACAAGGATGGTGGGAACTCCATCCTGGGGTCCTTGTGGGGCTGGGCTGGCACTGACCTTCCCCCCAACCTCATGTTCCTGCCCTGACAGGGGGCAGGGGGCATGGAGCTGCCGGCCCCAGAACTGCCGGAGCCCCCAGTCCTTATCGCTAGTTCCCACCTGCCAGTCTGGCCAGAGGAAGGAGGGAAAGGAGGCTGGGTCCGGGCCAGGGCGGTGCTTAATGACCCTCCGGGGGCCTAATCGCAGACTGGCAGCCGCTGGGTGGCTCAGGCTGGCTCCTGGAGGAGGCTGATAACGCGCCAGCTGGGCCCCCCACCATCTATCGGGGCTGCACAGTCAGTCTCGAGGGGGCATCGCTCGGGGGGGCCTGGGAGGGGGAGCCTCTGGGCTGGTGCAGGGCGTCAGGGGACTTTGGGGAAGCTCTCCGCCCCTCCCGCCCTGTGGGAAGGGGAGTCTGAGCTCCGTGATTGACAGACAAGGGGGAGGATGCTCCCTCAACGCCTTCCTGCTCCCTCCCCACCCCTTTCTCCCCAGGCCGGACCTCCCAGTCCCAAGCCCGTTTTCTCTTTGGCTCTCCCCGCCTTTACTCATCTCTGTGTCTGTGCTCCAGTCTCTTTTCGAGCGCAGTTTTTACTTCCGTCTTCTTGTATCGGTCGCGTGTCTTCCTTCTCCTTCCTCCACCTGAACTCATTGTTCACGCCTTCTCTCTCACCTCTCACCCGCCCTCTTTTTCCAGTGGGCTCTCCCCCTGCCTTCTCCCCAGCTCTCCCCACGTGCCTGCGCTGCCCTGATGCCCCTCGAGGCGGGGCGAAGGCCGGTTCCCTCACCCAAGTCTCACTCTTTGTGCAGCTTGACCTCCGGCGGATCCCTCCGCCTGCTCTCTGGGCAGAAGGCGAAGGCTGCTCAGGCCCTGGCTCCAGGACCCAGAGGTTCTATTACTCCCAGAAGACATTCTTGCTCCTCCGGCTTTCTGGAATACGGCCGGCACCTTTCCTGTTCTTCCTCTACCTAAAACGTGTGGATTTCACAGGGTTACATTGTAGGTTACTCCGAATCACGCTAAAAGCCCCACCCAGCAACTGCAGAGTTGAAAGTAGGTTGCAGCACAGCCTACTTCAGTTAGACTTTAAGAGGAACTTCCAGCCTGGAGTTGGTTTTGAAAAAAGGGTGCGGAGTCCTAGCTTGAGTGTTATTAAGATAGAGTGGCAGGGGCTTGGAATAATTTTCAAGATGACTTCTCTCATGCTCAGAGTGACATGAGCAGAAACACTGCAGTCTTATTGTATTTCAGGGAGCCTAATATCACCAGGGAACGTCTGCTGGGCAGAGTATCTTCCCCCAGCCCAGGGAAGAGGAGTGGGGGCAATGGGAGGTGTCCATTGTCTGTGACGGTCTGTCTTTCTCCTTATCCTACCCTATCTCCTTAGACCAAGCTCTCAGGTGAGTCAGGTGGCTGGAACCGGTGGAACTTGCTCTGGGATGAAGATGGGAGGCATTTGCCTCCCCTTCAGATCTGGTCTGTGAGCCTGGAGCCCCCAGCTTGGCTCTCCTCCCAGTTTTCAGACCCCAGCAGTCCACACAGTGGCCGAGAGCTGGGGCTTAAGAATCATGCAGACTCTAGTTGAAAGTCCAGCTTAAGAATCATGCAGACTCTAGTTGAAAGTCCAGCTCTTCGCCTCACTGCTTGTGGGACCACCTGGGCTTCTGGATGTTCTTTTCACTTGCCAGTAAGACTGCTTCTGTCATGACTTCCCTGCGGGGTTACCGGGAGGAAGCAGAGATAATGTATGTGTTATCCTTGCACCTGAGACTCGCCAGAAGACCCCTTAAGCTCAGCTTAGCAGTCACTTCTGGGAAGCTCGCCCTGAGGCCTGGGCTAAGGGCTTCCTCTGGGCCACACCAGCATCTCTGCACTCACTGCCCTGTGTTGCCTGTTTCCTTGTCTGTGTGCAGCTCCAGTGTCAGGTCTGGGAGCTCCTCTAGGGCAGGCAGGGGGTGACTTTCCTCTCTGAGTCACCAGCACCCACGGTTGGGCCCAGGAAAGGGAAGCCCAAGGGGTAGCGAAGAGACCCAGAAGGAGAGACTAAATCCCAGTCCATACCCGTCCGCCCCACATAGGTACAGACACACACAGGACCTGCACACCCCCTCTCAAGCTCTCTCTGGCTGAAGGTCCTGGGGTCAGTGAACACCGATGCTCCATCTGGTCTTCAGTTGCTGGGGAGGGGTTGTTCTCCCCCTCCCCGCCCACGTCTGCCCGCAGCCTCAGCTGCCCCCTGGTGGCTGCACACTCATTGAGAAGAGTGGATTCAGTAGAGCCATTGAACTGGACCTTCACGGGGCTCTTCCCCTTTAAGCACTGGGACCAAAGACCTTCCTATGACCGGGCGCTGGGGACCTCACAGGTTGTGCAGCACCTTGCACTGCAAGCTTCAAGGGCAGCCGGGCCTCCAGCACCCCCTCTTTGTGTCCCTAGAGGCCAGCTCCATGAGAACTTCAGGTTCTGAGTACCACTGGTGGGGCCAGGCTCTGGGGGACTTAGCATCCGGTCCTCATGACGCACCTCCCTTTATCTCAGAAATGGTCCGAGAGTCCCATGCCTCTGTCTTGAGTCATTATTCCAGAGAATAAGGAATGATAATGTTTGTGGTGCCCTGCTCCCTGGAGACCCTGGCTCCATGGGGAGGAAGAATAGAGAGCTTGGTGAGAGAGAGGGTGAGAGGCAGTTCAGGGCTGAGTCTCAGGATGGTCCTGAGCAGGCTGGAAGGTGGTGGAACCGCTTGGGGAGCACTGTGGGGCTGTGTGGACTGCGCCTCTACCTGCAGCCTGGGGCCTGCCTCGGCCTACACGGAGGGGAGCCTCTTCCTGCCTCTCACGAAGGCACTGGGGAGTGGGGGCCCCACGAATGACAGGTGCCAGGGGACGAGCAGGAGTGTGTGGGGTGAAGTTGCATTTGGACAAGTGATTTGGGAGCTGGTGGGATGTCTACTAGGAGAGGACTAGGGGGCATTTGGGTGCATAGGGCAGGTCTGAAGTGCAGTTGAGCAATTTCTGGTTCAGCCAGAGATTTTGCTTTCCAGTTGGATGCCCACTGGGAGGTTAAGAGGACAGGTCTGGGCCAGGCAGCCTGGACACAACACCGATGTGACACTAATACCATACTGGACAAATCAGTCAACCAAGCT